CATATATATATATGTATATATATATATATATATATATTTGTGATGTCATTTATTACTGTTTTGATTAACCAATATAAATATAAGTGCAGTATTGCAGGCTGAGTAACCTTTCTTCATCTCTTTGCTTTTCGTTTCTTTACATCTCTAAAGTTTTTTTTGCAGATTTTCATGGTATCAGAGCCAGTCTTATTCTTCATTTCTGTAAAACCCCGTTCTATTTTGTATTCCATTTTTTCCAACATTATAAAGTTCAACGTCGGTCCTTGCTTGCACTTTTACTTCCTCTACTGAATCTCGACAACCTCGCCTGAATCTTCTCTGCAATCTTGTCGATACAAAGCATCCGCAATCCCGTATCCAGTGCTTCGATCAACTCAGCCCTATCTTACTGCGATATCATGTCTGACATTAACTCATCCACTAGTGGATCTAATGTATCTCCATCTTCTTCCAGAAAAGCTATCACTATTCCTCCAGCACTAAATTTTTCATGTCAAATGTAAGAATCATAGCCCATTTTCAACTCTCGAGTGACAACTATCCCACATGTCGATCTCAAATATTCAAACTATTTAAGGTGAATGAACTCGATGGTTTATGGAAGGAATCAAAATCTGTCCACCTAAACAAATTCAACACTCTGATGGACACTTCTCCAAAAATCCAGACTTCCTACATATGCAATTGATTGATCAAAATATGTCCATCGCTATCAAATCTACAATCACCTCCTCTATTCTTCCTTATATCCTGATTCTGGACTCCACTCCAGCCATTTTTAGTACTTTAACCAAGTGACTTAAGGCAAAAAAATAGATCCAGGGTTTTGCAACTACGCAATTCTTTGCCCAACACTTCCATGAGAGATCTTACCATGTCACAATAAACGTTGGTCATCAATTCCTTAGTAGACAATATTACAATGGCATGATGATATATTGCTACGAAGTAGGTTATCCTGCACACTCTCAATAGCTTATAATCCAGTTATCAGCCCTTCAACACAACTACTAGAACTCGATCTGAACTTATTCACATTGATGAACTCTACTCTCTTCTATGCACTGAAGAAACAAACATTATTGTAGAAAAAACAGAGGAGGCTGATGTAGTTGTAATTGTACTTTACTCATCCACCAATAGAGGAGGATGCAAAAAAATTCTTGGAAGGGGACAAAATTCTAATTGGCGAGGGGCTACTCAACCTCAACCAAACCAAGGCAGGCACACCTCAATGACTTCAAGCATCTTATACTAAATATGTGGTAAATTCTATCACACAACTATCATTCGCTAGTAGAGAACAAACTTTACTTCATGCCCGTCCTCCATATCAAACACGACTCTCATGTCCACCACGAAGCCAAATGATTGAATATTGGATAATGGAGCAACATCTCTTCTCGCAACAAATCTGGAGCATCTACAAAAATAAATTCCATATTAAGCACATGATACCATCTTATTCGATGATGAATCCACTCATCCCAACAAACACAGGTCAAGGTTTGCTTTCTGCTCCTCAAAATAAGCTCTTCTTACCAAACCTTCTCTACTACCCCCATCTTGCTCATAGCCTCATTTTAGTTCACAAACTAACATTTAACAACAATTGCGTTATCATCATTACTAAAGTTTTTTTCACTATCAAGGATTGGAGGACACACAAAGCA